GTTTACTTGGGTCTGCAAAACTTGGTGGGACCATTATGTAATTTTCCCCAGCTTCCCCTTCACCTATCGTACCCAGCCTCACTTACCTAGACTTTTCTGAGAGTTTGTGGACATTTCAGGAAGACTTTGAAAGATACAGGTTGCAGTGGGAAGGACTGCATGAGTCTCTCTCCCCACTTTAAAAAAAAAACCTAAAAAAGACTTACTCTTTCATTTGGAGGCATTTCCTGCCATTTTGCGGCAGCGATTTTTCTCCCAAAGGCTTTGGGTCTGATGTATTACACTTTAGATTTTAAATAGGATTATAAAATAGGTCAAGGAAGAGAATAAAGAAGCCCGGACCAGTCAATGCTACAAGGTTAGCAAAAGTCTAATCACTGTTGAATATTTAAATTTTTATCATGTTTATTGAATACAATGATTCTACTCGGAGACTAGCTAAGACAACGAACGTATATTTCTCATGATAGTTGTGTGAACAATCAGATCTGATGCATGGTTTTTCAGAAATGTGTTCTATAGAACTTAGTTAAAAGTTACCGTGCCTAGGATTGTGGATGCAATCAGTGGAAATCCATCGTAGCTTCAAAGTTCCATCATTTGCAGATTTATTCATGAACAAATCCCACAATATTCAGTACGGTTTAACCTGAATGGTGAATTGAATTTTAAGAATTAATACAGTATCTTATTGTTTATGTTTCTGATCCTCTTAAGCTAATGTGATACACACACACACACACACACACACACACACACACACACACATATATAATAGTTAGCTATAGTTATGGTTTGCTGCATTCTGTAATTACATGAGCTACAAAATTGTTCTGTTTATTGTTTAGGGATTTTGTTTTGTTTCTGTGGGTTTTGTTTTATTTTTTCTTCCTGAATGATTCATATTGGAGATTCAGTAAACAGAACCTTGCTACTTGTGTGAAGCTGTCATTTAACCATGAAATGAAATGCTTTTATTGAGTTTGCCCTGCAGATATGGTCCGCTGTGGCAGTGCTGTCCATATTTGGTGGCTGTGCAAGGAGAGCCAGGTGGTGCTGCAAAGCATAACACAGTGAAGCGTGGACAGATCTAGGTTTGACATTTGTCATCCTGCACTGCTGAAGGGGAGAGAAAAATCTGCTTTTCCATATGCTTCTGCTCTAATTTTTGCCCGCAGTTTTGTCCAGATGGCCTTGTGAGCATTGTTTACTTTAAGATGTTGGCCCAGATGTTGTTGAATGCCGATGGAGAAATGCAACAACTGTGGCAATCCAATATGCAAATTATGTACACAATTTTGGCTTTTTAAGAAAAAACCCCAACCAATCTGTTTATACATTTTCAAATGCAAATGCCCCCTGCTTCAGTTCATTTTTTCAAAAAGGCAGTGGACTGTCATTGGATTTAAAACCAACATAACTTAGATCCCTTCTCTGCTGTAAAGTTCATTGGGAAATGCTGGATTAGATGATCTCTTAGCAAGCTTAACCTAATTCCATAAGGTTGTTTTTGAAAATAAGTATGGGAGGAAAAGGAACTCACAAATGTATTCATGAGGTAGGATGAAACTTTACTGCCTGTCTCCATTTAGGTGAGACATAGTTATAATAAGTAAATATGCTTGAAAGCCTTTCTTCGTTACTAATGTATTGCTCTGGTTCTGCTACATATCTTATGCCAAGGTTTTTTAAACGTTTCCCACTCACAACCCTTTCCTTCTTGAGAAAGTTTTATATGACCTCAGGTCATATAGGTATATAAAATAAGTATACAAATCAAACAGTTACTGATAATACACAGGCATTTGCAAAGCTTACTAAACAGACTGATTTTCTATTTTATGAAGTACAGCTAAAGCAATTTCTGTAAATTCCACCATAAACATTGTTTGTGGTTGCTAACAGATTTGTATAAATGTCTAGGAAGCATTTAGAAACATTTTATTGTTGCCAAATTTTTCACAACCCCAAAATTGAGCTAAGGGGACCCTATTTGGGATCGGAACCCATAGTTTAAAAAGCAGTTTCTTATGCTATGGAAGGTGTTGGACAATGGATGCTTCAGTTGTTGATCTTGTTATTTTCTTAGTTTTGTGTTAATGGAAAGTAAACTTAGAATGTGATTCATGTGGAGCGTACTGTTGTTGTGCAGGAGCTGTCTTGCAAGCAGGGTAATTGAGAAAGCTTTCTCAGATACCAGGGAAGCAGAATAGCAGGCATGTGCAGTAGGAAAGCAGCATACAGAGTGCCTGCAGCTGCCAGGTGTGATGGAAAATGCAATCCCTATGTCGCTTGTGCAGTAAAGTTAAGCTGCCAGTTTGATTGGCTTCTCTACATGAATTGGAGGTAGAGTGGAGATGTCATCTGGTTCTTTTCTTCAGGAGGCAAACAATTTTGAGTTAGGTGTACTACTGTGTCTGTCCCTTTCAGAAGTGCTGAACTCTAAGCATTCTTGGTAACCCGATAGTAAAACCATAGTGTTTGTTAGAAATGCTTCATGTTTCCATGCATGACGTTCAGCTTGTGCTGTGCCAAAAATACAAAAAAGAGTTCTTTCTCCCACCCTGGACCTTCTGCAGATATATAAACTTCCCTTGCTTACTTTCCAAAATACTCCCTCTGGGATGTGGGCGAAACGTCAGGAGAGAATGCTTCTGGAACATGGACATACAGCCCAGAAAACTCATGGCAATATAAGAATTGTACAGTTGTCGCATGTTCTTTGTTCCATTGGTATAGTTACATGCACAGAGACTAGTATGGGAATGGGAAAAAGTAATAGATGAGGAAGAGATGAGAATAACACCTCATTCCCACTGCCTCATATTAGTGGGCTAAGAAATATTCTTTAACATTATGAGCTTGAAGGAGTTGGGGTGGAATTACAAACCCAGGCATAATTTTTTAAAATGTGTCTTGCATGGAAGGCATGCAGATTATGCCAGCAATCTGATGTCAATTATAATAGGTATTTTAGCTATGTTTGCTTTCTTTTCCCCTCTGCAAAATGCAATTATAATTCTCTCCCACTCCCTCCCACCTCTCTGTTTTTCAAGAGAGAATACAAGTATCTAAGGGTAATGCGTAGAGAAGTCTTTTGGCATGAGAGTTCCATTAATGCAAATAGGTCTGCTTAGTGGTTTCTCAAGAACACTTAATGAGACCTCAGTATGTAACTCATTAGGACAAATATATGAATTTATATGTCAAAAAGGGGGATTGTAGCAGTGCAGCTCTTGGCATCCATTAAGTCCATAACTTGTTCACATTGACATGCATTGTTAATCAATACTTGAAATGCTGCAGATGTCAGTAATGTTCATAGTTAGTACGGCAGCCATGACAATATGAAAGTTGCTAGTAGAAATCTAGGCTAAATAGTGTGTCTCAAGTCTTCTCATTACCTCTAGGCTACAAGTTAATGGCTGCCTAACTTCACTGCTCTGTATCTATTTAAGCAATAAGGCAAATGGGAAAATACAGGGACGGTGTACTGGTAGCACATAATATTATAAATTGTGAAATACATTGGGCTTTCAAGGTTTGAAACAAACAGTAGTCTGTTTTTTTTGCTTGAGTTTGACAGATGTCCAATGTACAGGTAGGGGTCAATTTTATACTTATCTAGCTGTTGAAAATGCACAGCAGATTAAATATTCACATTGGTTTCAGTAGGCACTAACTGCCAGAAACTCACCCTGGATCTAACCCAATGTTTTGGGGTTTTTAATTACTTTATTTCAGAAAATAAACATTTTCTTTGCACGATGCGTTCATTTCTTATAGATGACAGAAATAAAGACAATTTATTTCAAGGGGCTGAAAATTGGGGGTGTGCATTTGACTGTGAATTTTTGGAATGATGCCCCAAACGAGTCTAGATTAGAAAATATTGGCTTCATTTTGGACTTTCAATTTGCATTTTGGCACATAGAAAATTACATTAAAAAAAACAGAATGAAGATGAGAATTTGAGAGCAGCTGAAACCAAATACCTTTGGAGCATAGAACACCAATAGTAGTGATACCCATCGTGAAAACTAAAGCCAGTTGTACACGTCAGAGAAACACCTGAGGCATTTTGAGATACCAAAAAAAGGAGAAAAAAGAAAAGAGTGTATATGTGTACAGCCTTTGGATTCCTGTTTTCATGGAATATATCAAATTTGGGAAGGTCATTAATTAGGGCACAACAGCATTGTTTTTGAGAAGTACCCAATTACTGGAAACGCCATTGCTTTTTCTATTTCAATAAGTATATGCTTGTGTATGCTGTAGTCATTGGGGGGATTTTTAGATATTTTCCTTTTTTAAGGATGATGTTGATCATAATAAAATTGGTCAATCATATACTCATTGTTCTTGAACTAATGAGCAATTGCTGATGTGTTCTTTGGAAATAGTAATTAGTATTGCCAAATGTACCTTCTATAATACATTAAAAGCTCTGGATTTTATTTATTTTTTTGGCCCTTTGGTGACAAGATTTATTAAAATCTGGAAAAGACTTGAAACTGTGGGCTTGAGGTTCTGTTTTTGTTTGATTGTGGGCTAGGAGTTAAGAAAGTCTTAAGCATGTTGTTTGTATTTGCTGTAGTGTAGTCTACATTTTTGTATGCTTGATCCCATATTGTATTACAAATTGCTTTTGGAGGTTTTAAGAAAATCCTGATGACAAAAAAGAAATTAAAAAAAATTGAACTGATTTTTTGGGGATTCTGGTTATAGTGTCTGTGTCAAATAGCACATGAACCTCATTTATGCACTGTGACATTTATATATATTCTTGCGATAAATGGATTTGCTAGTCAGAATCTGAGTGCTTATTGCTTTGTCATTTTAGATGTTTATAAATTTGTAGAAAATCAATTTAGGAATGTGGTGTCACTCTAAGTTGGCTTTCTTTGATGAGCTTTCATGGACACTTTTCATTATTTAATGTTTTATACACACGTGTACAATATGTAATAGCCATTAATGTTGTGCTTATCTCATTAAAGGTTCATCATCAAAAGTTATATGGATACATGAAGAAAACAATGAAGCAAATGATATATTAAAGGGGAAAGGTGTAAATTCCAGCTGGGCATCTGTTCCAGTTAAAGGCATCAATAATTTAGGAAATACATGCTTCTTTAATGCCGTCATGCAGGTAAGGTGAACATTCTTCCATAATCTGTGATGTGAATGTAACAGACATGCAAGATTTATGCTTGCATATCTTCTTTCCCCATGTTCAAAAATGAGCAGATAAAAGTTTTAGCAAGGTTGTGAATAATTTCTGTATTTCACCACATAATAATCGCACTTAAAAAATGACAGTGTGACAATTATGCGGTGCTGACTATTGCACAGTGAAAATGGTGAAAAAAGTGCAGCTATTGGAGCAGGCATGCGAGGGCATGAAGCTGCACTCGCTGAGTCGCATTCTTCATTCATTCATGGGCGAGTGAATAAAACATGCAACTTTTATGCAGGGAAGAGCAGAAATTCTAATTTTGCCTCCCCAGAAATGGGGTGTGTGACTTATATGTGATGGCAACTATTATGCAACGAAATACATTTTTTCTCTGTGCAACACTAGCTGCTTAGAACAGCTCCATCCTGATTTCTGAGTATTCACCTACTATTTCCAAGTGTTTTGCAGTATGTAACACTGTATCTGAAAGTTCACGGCTTCTCTGTGAACAACACTTTGAAAACTAGATGGGAAATGAAATACCCTTGTGTGTTATGGTATAGAAACCAGGATCTGTCCTAGAGTCTTCTACCCTGTCATAGTAGGACAGCAGAGCATGAAAAGACACTCTATGGTTGATGTTGTACTTAATCCCATTTACTCATTTAAAGAAGAAAAAACAAAGGGATTACCTTTCAGATCCTTCCATGATGATATTCTTAATATTACTGAATTATTACTTTTCCACTGTCCTCTGTAAATAGAATTAAAAGAGTGGCTATATATCTGCACTGTATGATGCTATATTTCTTTTAGCACCCAACTACCAGTGACCACATGATGAAGATAAAAATGTCATTCAATGGCACATTTCTAATGGGAAGGAGAGGAGGTGGAGAAAAGGTTATTCTAACTTTGAACACTTCAAACTTTTAAAAATGGCAGCTCTCTCAATCTGTTAATTCTGAAGTGTAAGGGAGTTTCAGGACTACTGTATGATTTGGCTTGGAAATCATCACATGGAAAGAAGAAGCCAGATGTTTCATGCTATATACGCATGGGCTTCTCTCATCTAAAGGAGCGCTCTGGATTGATCTCATGTAACTTGCATAAGGGACCGGGCTTTACACAGCAGGCTAAACTGTTGTGCTGCAGAAAAATCCTACAAATTGAAAGGTCAGCAGTTCAAGACCTTTTTGGGGTGAGCACCCACTGTTAGCCCCAGCTCACTTGTCCATCTAGCAGGTCAAAAGCAGAAAAGCATGTAGATAAATAGGTACCGCTTTTAGTGGGGTAATAAAGGTGCCCTTAAGGACATCGAACAGAGGAAAGCATCTCAGCATGGAAGATGGAGCAACAGCACCGCCCACCCCACCCTGTGGTCAGAATTGAGCACAGCCTCCAAGATGCTGGAAATAAGATGGGAAAACTTCTTTTACCTCTATGTTGTCTGTCCTTGTTAATTGTATAATCAGCATTGAATGTTTGCCCTATGTGTGTTTTGTTAGCCACTCTGAGTCCCCTTCAGGGTGAGATGGGCAGAGTATAAATACGGTAAATAAATACATAAATTCTTCCTTTTACATAAAAAGCCACTTTCGGTAAGAATTTATTGTGTAAGTCCAATTGACAGGTGAAAGTCATCTATAATCTTTTCTGTTTTTCTATTAGAATTTGGCACAGACACACATGTTAAATGAACTAATGTGTGAAATGAAAGAAAAGGGGGCAAAGCTAAAAATTGGTCAGAGTCCAGCATCTCAACTGGTAAGCATTTAGTGACTTTTCAGTTTTGTGTACAAATAGTCAAGTTCTTTGAGAATGGGACTGACAGGGCATTGGAAAATGATAGTGTGCATACTTTTCCTGGTTTTGTTTGTATCCCACTCTTTACATGGTGGGATGCAAAGTTGTCTTCAGCCGACCTCTGCCCATGGGAAGCTCCCACTGGAGGAAGGTGAGGAAGAAGAGGCTTTTTGCTTATTCTTCCTTCCTGCTGTATCCCTAGGAAAACTGTTTGGGAAACTTAGGAAAGAACTGATGAAGATGGCACAAGGGACTGAATTGGAAAAGGGAATCCTGCAAAAAGTATCTTCCTCCAATGGGTGAATCTGCTGGATCAAAGAGTATGCTATGAACAAAGTCCTCATCATGGAAAGGGCATTTGGTATCTAACCCACGCAGTTCTACAGAATCATATCTCATAAGATGTGGTTGGTATATAACCCTCTTCTGAAGGAGAAATTATATCTTCTGGTTTTGTCTCCAAATGTTATTTCAATCCACATATCCAATATATATGGAAACAATGTTATTTCCATCTATGAAAAGCCTCTCAATTTCTAAGCTGCCTCAGTTTCTATTGATAGCAGGCTTTCTTGGAAATGGAAAAAGGCAAAACTCAGTCTATCCTTTATTGAATTACATGATCCTAGATAGAACTGTTGCATGAAAAGTAAAGTTAGCAACTACACTCACCTATTTCTTACCATTCCTATATTCTTACCATTCTTTCTGACATCAGTAGGTTTGAGCTATGATAAGTATCTTGCTTTGTTCTTTTGTCTCTCTTTCAAAATTGTCACCACACTGATGGTGCTCAAGTAAAATAATAGCCTATTTTGAAGACAGGAATCGGTAAATTGGTTTTCTGACACTTAGCTGAAAGGATATTTTTAAATGGGGGAGAGGAGAAGACACCACTTTCATTAGAAATTTCACCAAGTGTTAAATTTACTTTCATAATTATTGAGTGGAGCATTGTATATTAAAATCTGATATTTCTTTTTGATCTCAAAGGATCCTTTGGTAGTGAATCTTTCAAGTCCTGGGTCACTGACATCGGCTATGTTCCTGTTCCTTCACAGCATGAAAGAAATGGGGAAAGGACCTCTTTCTCCCAAAGTTCTTTTCAACCAGCTCTGTCAAAAGTAAGGGTTCCTTGATGTCAGTAACATGCTTCGCAGGGGTGGCATCGCCACATTAAATTGGAAATATTCCATGTAATATAGTCCATTATATTTAGAGTAGAAATACATTGTTATGCATTGCTTTAACATGAAACAGCAAAATAATAATTTTATAAGACTAAAAATATTAATAGTTATTAAAGCACAATAAAGAAATATATGATTCTTTCTATAGCAACTGTTTAGCGTCTGGTACTAATTCATCCACTGTTAATTTTGTTAGTGTTGCAGCTGTCAGTCGTTTTGCTAAGACAGATTGTGTGCATAGCTACAGGGCCCTTCTGTTTGTTTTCCACTATTTTGAATATTAGGGATGTAGACTTTTGACTTATCTAGAGAGTTAGTGGCTCACACAACATTTATATACTAAGAGGACATAAATAATGCTTCTATTTTTTACAGCTGAATAATTTTTCAGTGGAAGAAATTGTGAAGCCAGGTATTATGGCAGTATTCCTTGTTATTGTGTAGATTAGCAGATAATCAGGAAAGTGCGGCTTCTTCTATGCTTGGTGTACTCACAAAAATTAAGCTTGATGTTTTTGATATTATTCTGGTGCTTCTGTGTTTCTGAGCAAGGTTTTCTTTTGAATGCGATAATATGGTGATAACTATCCTCTATCCTTTCCCTTTGAAAGATATAGGTAGTTCTTTGGTGGCTTAGAGAAGTCACAACAGATATCCCTCCACATTTGTGGGTTTAATTTTTGTAGATTTGATTATTTGCCACTTTTGCTGCTGCCTTGCACAATAGGGAGTTTGGTAACACCACTGTCTATCTTGAGCTATGTTCAGTTAGTTAGATTTAATCAGTGGTCAAGTCCATATTTGCTAGAAGGAAATCAAACTGGTGGAGTAGCTGGCCCCAGTCACTCACTTGTTCCTTGCTCACCCCTTTCCACAGCCCTTGCCATCTTCCTTGCTACCATCCCCGATCCTCCCCACCATCCCATCCCCTTCCCTCCAAAGGGAGCGAGTGAATGAGCTATTCTGCTAGTACTGATATTTTTTGTGGGTATTAAATACTGTTTGCAGGGCCTAGAGATTTTGTTTTATTTCAACCATTATGTTTGGATTTCTTATTGGACTATTTTCAATTGAAAGGCATGCACTTTGAACGTTCTCAGAAGTCCCCTTCTGACTTGGGAGGCAGCGTGGAAGGACACACCAATGAGTTGAATCTCTCTGAAGATTATTTGTCAGCCAAGCAAATGGCGGCAGCTGTACTCTAGGCATGAAAATACTGCTGCGTCCCCAAGATGAGGGTTGCAATCTTTTATAGTTTTATAGAAATCCAAAAAGCACATTTCGATTGATGTTAACACATTGTCCATCTAATTGGTCTATGCTTAGCTAATACATTTCTGATTGACTCTCTATTTCTAAGCAAGCAAACAGGTGAAAAACAGCAGAAGCCGGAATATACTGAAACTTCATATCTTCTTTAAGTGACCCTGACTTGCGGGGATGCGCTCAGCAGGCACCGGCTTATCTCTTAGTTACAAGTTAAAGCAAGAATGTTGTGTGAAATAATAGGGAGGGTAGGCCTGTAAGCTACTCCTCAAACCGCAGTGGCAGCTCTTTTTAAAAACTATACTTTTGTCTGTATACACTTTATAGATGGGACCTCTGGTCCTATATAGCATCTATAAAATTTTATAAAACTGCATATTCTTCACAATAGTCTAAGTATTGTTTTCAAATATGTTTTCATGTTGCACTCTAAATTTGTCATCAAAGATTCAAACAGTATCCTACCATATGAAAATACATTTTCTCTGTCATTACTAAAGGCACCTTTTGTTTTCCTTCTGGTAAACTTTAATCATGATTGAGAAGCAGACAATACATTGTGCATTTCAACTGTACTGCAGCTGTTCATATGGTGTCCAGCACCAAAGCAGATTATCAACAGCATTCCGCATCATAAGCAGCCACTTATGATTCAATGGGAAATGATTTTGGTGTGATGTTAGTGCTTTACTCTTTGTCCAAGACTTTCAGAACTCAGTCCATAAGACTGCACTTTGTCTTTCTCTCTAGGTCAGATGCAGCAATGAGAGATGGGTCTTCCTTGGAAGACAGAGTTTTAATAAAGTTGATATTGTGCTGGTTGAAACTACATAATTATTAAGAGCCATCATTGTACATTACCATCCTTGCCAATGGGATGTAAGCTGTGAGAATTTAATATATACTATATTTATCCCAAAACTGGTAAGACTAATAGAACGACATGAAGGCCAAGGTCAAATGAGTTTTGAAAATTACCTACCAAATGTATAATGTTGAAGTCTTCCCTTCCCATTCTGAGTTGTGTGAGGCCTTTGCTTACATTGGCAAGACTGCTGGGCGATGGCCCCAAACTCTCTTAAACTCCCAAGCTGCCACTGCAGTGACAAATAGTGGACAAGGTGAGTGCCATCTGATTTTCACTGCACCACCAAGCACAGGGAAACCAGTATGATGGCACTGCCCTATGTAAACGATGGGACTGGTTCCAATTAAGAACTGATTCATACTACTTCAAAGTGCAAGAAAGCTCTGGAGCATTTCCCGGCTTCTCCTAATGTGGGACACAGCCATGTTAATTAAAGATCACAGAACCGATTTTATCCCATTTCAGGCTGAAGAGCCCATGAAGCTATGTCCATAGTGGAAGAACAAAGATAATTATTTTTTACTTTTAATTTTATTTGTAATTTATGATTAGAGAGCATTTTTAAAACAACTAAAATTTTAAGCAAATTATATAAGGCAATATTAACTAAAGTATTTTATGGTTAACTTCTAATAAATAGGTATTATCCCAAGATTAATGCAAAATTTGCCTGATGTTTAAACAATCATATTGTACACCATCTTGTCTACATTGAGATGATAGACTTGAGTAGCGGTACCATAGCTGTCACAGTTGTCCTTCACTACTTATGGCCATTAACTGGAATTCAACCTGTTCTGTCATTTATACTGCTGACACTGTACAACAGGTTGTAGCGCATTGGCACTGGCTTCCATATGTCAGCACATCTGTGAGCGGTCAGTTCAACCAACCATCTTAGAGTCCTCCACTTTCGCCAAGGATCTTGCTTGAAGCATATTTTCAAGGAGAGAAGAATGTACATCTTTTAGTTGTCAAATCCAAGCATATCAGCATTGGTTAGGGCTTCTGCTTCTCCCCCTTTTATTAGCTTTTTGTCAAATGCTTTCTGAAAAATCATTTTCATTTCCCTCTTAGAATATCTTTAAATTATACTAGAGCTTTCCAAATTGAGTTCAGTTTTGTGTGCTAACATTTAATTTTATATATTTGCTTAGAAGCCTCAGGCACCTGATGAACATAACATTTAAAAAATACTGCATATTTGATATTTACATTGTTAAATGTTTTGAATTGTTTCCTTATTTATGGCCTAGCAGGTCATGTTTGTGCACTCAATATAAAAAATTGAAATTCAGTTTATTTATTTATTTAAAACTTTTATATACCATTTATTTATTTATTTATTTATCTATCCATCCTACCTTTCTCAAGTCTGAAGGTGACTCAAGGTGGCTTTACAACGTAGGCATAACCATAACCATATACAGTATAAAATATAAACATTTAAAACCATTAATAAAATCATACAATAAAACCATTTATAAAACCAGTGCCTTCACTGTTCATCTCATTGTCCAAAAAACATCTTCTGAGCCATTCCAATTCAATTCCATATAAATCCGTGATTGTCTATAGCATTGCATTTCCAAAGATTTGTTCAAAAAGCCAAATTTTTCCTTCCCTCTGGAAGGTCAGGAGGGAGAGGGCTGATCTAATATCCTTTGGGAGGGAGTTCCACAGCCGAGGAGCTACCACTGAGAAGGCCCTGTCTCTTGCCCCCCCCCCCCAAACATGCCTGCAAAGAAGATGGGATCAAGAGCAGGGCGTCCCCAGCTGATATTAAGCTAGAAGGTTCATAAGGAGAGTTATGTACGGATAGGTAAGCTAAAGCCAGCACTTGGAATTGTGCTCGGAAACAAACCGGTAGCCAGCAGAGCTGACACAATAGGGGAGTTGTTAAAAAAGTGTACATTAAGAAGTGAGAAGAATTAATGGCAGAATGCTTTCATTGATCTCTTGTACTTCTTGTTTTACTGAGGAAATTGCTCATTTGAAATTGTGGTCCAGTTGGAATGAAAACATACAGTATTTATCTGCTGCTTTTAACAGAAATGGCAGTGAGATCCAACATGGTGTAGCAGTTTGAGCATTAGAAAATGATTCTGGAGATCAGGGATCACTTCCCTGCTTGTACATGGAAGTCCACTGGGTGATCTTGGTCAAAACAGACTCTTTCAGCTTCAGAGGAAGCAATAGCAAATCCCCATCTGAACAAATCTTACCAAGAAAACCCCCATAAGTCAGAAACAACTTGAAGGCACACAGTGACATGTGCTGCAACATTTTCCAACCACCAGCAGCAATGGCAGTTGGAAATGTCTTGATGGCACGTAATAATTTTAATCAGGGCACTGCTGCTTTAAAAAAGGTTTTCATTAAAAATCTGGATGATGTGAGAGGCATGCTCGGTTCTCATTTTGGTTTCTTAAATGTTCTCATTGAGTCCTATTTCAGCCCATGCCCCTCTTGCATAGTCCTTTTGTATATATTTCTCTCTCTTGTGTTCACTAACTTGTGTAGATGTTTAAGGTCTTGACTGAAAAGGCCTTGTCTAAGCAAATGACAAACGAAATTATTGTATGCAGGATAAGTTGCTGACATAGATTGAAAACCCTTGTGTTGTTCTGACTGTTCAGAACATCTTTCCTTAGGCTACAAATAAAATTGGATCCCCCTTTTTATAACTTTCTTAAAAACAGAACTGAGCAAATACGTTCTTCCTCCAGTATTCAGATTTTATTAAATATCACCCTAAGCTCTGTCAATTATACTGTGTCCTGTACATTGAGAAGGACAGACAGCAGTTGTGCAAGTACCCTGCTCTGCTTCCCAGTGGGAAGAAGTGATGACTTTGACATTTGCTGGTATTTCGTTTTCAGCTACCAAAAGGAGAGCTGGCCACTCTTTCATGGACAGCTAAAATAAGAATGTGTGGAATTTTGCAGGGTCTGTTTTTTAAAAAGTCTTCCCTATATTTCAGTCACAGTCACAGAAATACAGTTTTTTGCCTGTCTCGCCGCACACACCTGTAGCAACGTCTGTGGGCTTAAAATAATTAATAGTCAAGTTTCTGTAATCCCTACTTGTCTGGCCATTTGAAGCAGTTTTCATTCACGATGGAGAAACCACTTATTTATGTACTTCTATCATATTTGCTATCATATTTTTCTGTTTGTTTGCTTTGTTCTGTTAGAAATGTAATATAATGGACTGGTTGTTCTGACACGACAAATAAAATAAATAAATCATATTTGCACCCCACAGTCTTGTCTGGATAGACATGGCTAGAATACTTAGAAACCTACAGTTCACTTAACCATCTTTTGGTGGAAAGGGGGATGACTTTGCAAGCACTATGCTAGTTAACAATGAGGTAGAAAGTACTCTGAATTTCTGTTAGTCATCTGATAGCATGCATTTAAAATGATTGATAGGATGCATTGTTCTCTTTGATAATGGAAATGTTCATGTTTACTAGCACTAGTCTGACAAGAGAATTCTACTACTGTAAACCAAGAAGAAAGCAAACTTTTTTCTTTATGTTTTAAAGTTAACCTCCACAGACTTTACAGTAGTTGATGCAGAACTCAAAATATGTTCTCCCCAATTAATCAAAATCCAACGAAAATGGGCAAATGTGATACCTGTGATACCATATCAGTAAACCTGAAAATTCCTCTGGTAGAGACTTATTTATTTCTCTTCCTCTGCAGGGCTCCTCGGTTTAAGGGATATCAACAGCAAGACAGCCAAGAAGTTCTCCACTATTTGCTGGATGCAATGAGAATAGAAGAAACAAAGGTGAAGAATTTATATTTCAACAACAGTGTTGTATTCCTAGTTTTTTTTTTAAAAGCAAAAAATAATAACACCCAAACATATAGTCAGTACTATTTTGTACTTCGTTGGTACCAGCTTTTCTTATTCTTCAGCTTTTCTTCTTCTCCATCATCATATTTGATTTACTGTTTCATGGTCTGCCCAGCTGAACAAATTGTCTCTCTATGGCCTTTGGCATACTTATCAATTCATCACATGGGTCCTATCAGTAATATGGTTGTTAATACGTATTGAACTTGGTGCTATCCAATAGCTACATAAATAGGTTCTTATGCAAATTTAATTTAAGATTTAGTCTTGTATACTTCCTTGTGTCTTGTGGTTCTGTCACATTTTTTCTTAGCAATTCACTCTTCTGTTTTAGTAGATTGTTGAAGGGACATGATAGCAGCCTTCTCATCATTAATGGCTAATTGCACCATGGCTTCATATGAGAAAACTGACCCTAAAGATACTAAATGTAGAGGCTATTTTACATATTATCCTTCAACAGACTTTCTTTTCCCAGCAATTTCATACACAGCAGGGAACCATAGACAAGCCAGTCTCTGAATAAAGTCAGCTGTAAATGCATTTGTTTTTCACGTTCTCTCTTCACTTTTTAGGTATATAATTTCTAAAACATTACATGTGCATTAAAAATATACATCTGGTTCCATTAAATATAAAGGCTCCTTTTTTTGTTGAAAGTTGAATATATGGAAATGATACTCTCTGGTAAGGGGATCTGATGTATATATATCTGCTGTATAATTTCTACTGTCTACTGAATATAATAAACTTTATATAGTCTGCTATACATAATGGACCCTACATGGGTTTCAATACACCAGATTCCTTCTGATTTTGGAAGCTAAGTAGGGTCAACCCTGGTTTATACATAGATGGGAGACCGCCAAGAAATACCAGGTAGCCTAAACTTGTGAGGAAGGAAGTGCCAAAATCATTTTGAGTATTTCTTGTGTAAGAAAATCCAGTTAAATACGTCATCATAAATTGATAGATGTCTTGGAGGCACACATGCAAATGATATAGTTAGTAGATCTTTGTATAACAGTAGAAACTATGCCTTAGGCCAGGTGATTTATTTATTTATTTATTTATTTATTTATTTATTTATTTATTTATATCTGTGTCTTACTCTTTCTTTAAAATTCTAAGAGCAGTTTACATGAAAATTTCAGTGGTTCTCCATCTAGGCACTGCTGAAGCACACATTTACTTGACTTTGGCTGTGCAGGGCTACTTACTCATTCTGGATACAGCTTGTGGAATCCTTTATTTTGTAGCTCAAGGTCTTAGATGTCACTGTATGAACAAGGCTTGGAGCAAAAGCCTTGTGAGAGTGCCAAGGGATATTGTACTTTGTCAGGTTATCAGTAAGCAAATCCTATATGGCATGAGTCAGTGTAAAAGTTGCTTACTTCATCTCATTTCTGTAGACTGGGTGAACTGGTACATAAAAAAATGAAACCAGAAGCACATGGTCCTGTTTGAATATGCCCAAAGCTTCATATTTTGTTTTTATTCTTATCCAATTTATTACTAACATGAAAAGGGTGAAGTCTTCCCACTCCTGTCTTTTTAGTTGTGGAATTAATTACCTGGTGCTTTGTACCTGGGTGTAGGTCTGGGACTAGAAATCCTTTGGGTTTTGGTGGGTTTATTGTATTTTAGAATGTATTTGGATACATGTAGATGAGAGCCAAGATAAAATTTATTTAAGTTTCATATATACCTTATCTGCATAGCCTGATACTTTATCTGCATAACCAGAAGGTAATTTTATGCCGTTTTTGTAATAATTTTGTACACAAAATAAAGTTTGTTTACACTGAACTATTAGAAGCAAAACTTCCATCCATGTAGACAAATTTGAATTTTGGAGTTTTTTCCAAATTTGGAAATTATTTATTTATTTACTGTATTTATACTCTGCCCTTCTCACTCTGTTGTGAGCGGCCTTTTATGAGCAGTCTCACAAAAGGCAACAATTTGATGCCACTTAAAACAGACATATAATAAAATAAATAATGAAATCAAGAAGCATATAAACATTAAAACCAATTATTAAAAACCACATAATCCAGATAAGGGATGCTCAATCTTTATTTTTTCAGACTGTCAATTTTCAAATGCATTAAACCCATAGCTTTCCAAACTGTGTTGCAACATAGTTGGCTACAGTCTGTAAGCGTATTGCATAAAACTAATGAAAAATCTCTGGGTCTATGTGAAATAAATAATAGATCATATACCGGTATTTTAAATATATAAATGAAAGGTTTTCATGAAATAAGTTGTGTCTCCATACATTTTGTTATTACAATGTATGTATGTGTCTGTCTTCTAAGGAGTTGCTAGTGAAACTGAATTACTGTGTTGCAAGTACTGTGTCTTAAAAGTGCATCACCAACATGAAATGTTTGGGAAGCTTTGTGTTAATACATGCAACCACCTAAAACTATAATTTCTAAAATTTAAATAAATTCTGCGTTTGTATGTTAATGTAGGCTTGTGCCCAGTCCCATATTTACTTTTGTTTTGTATGCATTTTGTGAAGAGTAAATATGTGAAAATCAGACTACACATATATTTAATTAATAATGCATTCCTTGGCATAAAACTATCCTTTGTGAAATTTTATGGCAAGAAACTATTTGCCAAAGAGTCCTAATTATGATTGTTGTTGCTAGAATAAAGCAACTTTGCGATGCCTATTTTTAAAACATCATTTTTAATGGCAAGCCTGCAGATTTTCATGTTACCCTTGCTTAAATTATGACAAAGGAAGCTTGTTGACTAGTCCTTCACCAGTCCCATTTCCTTCCATGGGGTTGGGGCTGATCCCACCCTGGACAACAATTAAATCCATGTTTGGCCATAATGGTGCAGTACCATCCGCAACAAGGGGCTTCATCCCCTCAGGCTTCGGAGCAAAGGGACATGGCTAGTCAAAGCTCTTGGGTTTCCCCTCCCTTTCCCCTTTCTTTTCGGTCTGTAGATGGTGTGACAAACCGAGAATGTCAGATTTGTGGATCTGGTCAATCTTGTGAGTGGCGACAGTTGTGCCAGCTTGAAACAAACATGAGCAACATTGTCTGTCATGGGAACGCCACAGCTGTTAATCGTGCTATTGTTTGGGAGTGTCACTACCATGTGGCTTTTTTAATTGAAGGAAGCCTACAGCAATCTGTCTGCCACCAGAATGCTTTAAAAAAGGATTACAGCGACTAACCTCCCTTTTTTCCTTCCACACTGAAAAGTATTTAAACTTAAGTCATTCTTGCTGAAATGGCCAATTGAGATCACTTTCCCTACTTTTTGCCTATGGTAAACCTTTTTTTTAATTATCTGATTTTTTTCTGTAAAGAAAATGTGTATTTTATGTATTTGCCTTCATATCCTAGAATCAAACGTTTTGGAAAGCACAACTGCTTGATCCTTGCAAGCACCTATATTCTACTACTTAAATGCAATTAAAGTGCTTTCTCATCCTCGGGAGCATGTTGTATCCTGTAAGGTGCCTTCAGTCTTTTACTTCTAACAATTTCCTCTTTATGGACATGGAATGCTTTCCATTGCTCGTACACTGCAGTTCTTGTTTTGCGTCTGAATTACGTTAATGTATGTAAGTGAACCTTCTTTTAAAAAGGGAAACAAACAGTCAATACCCTGGTCAAAATGGCACTTTCCCCCCTGCATGGCACACATGAGATGCTTCACACCAGGGCTTGAAGTATTTGAACCCTGCTGCTAATTGATTAATGTCTGATGCATTGTTTGCTGCACCCAAACCCTTCAAAGACTATGTCTTTCTTTGACCTAAATAAATGGTTCAACGCACTCACCCCAACAAAAAGGGAGTAGCTTATGGCCTTCAACCCATTTATGGGCTCCAACTTGCTGAGTTATTTATTGATTAGTCCTCTTTGGTATATTGTTGGATTTAAGATGAACAAAGAGAGGCTGGAGGCACTAGGAATTAATACACTCCCCAGGTCAAATATTCGTGAAGTAGAAACCATTACTTGGTGCACTAGTTCTTGTTGTGTTAATGGTTTAATTTACGTTCATCTTTATGCTTCTGTGCTCCTGATATGCAAGTGGGGCGGGTAAACTCATAAACTTCTAAAGTTCTGCATCAGGTTGCATTTTCCTGTCTTTTCTGATCATGTTGTTAATAAATTTTATTACTGTTTGTGAGGATCTCATGAAATTACTTACACTATCATTTAAGCCCATCTCTTTTAGTAAATTTTACTAATATCAGTTAATAGCTGGAAGCTATTTAGTCAGATTCCTTTTGAGATTCTGGCTGGAAACTAGAACAGTGCTGTTCCTCGTGGCTCTTATTGTTTGAAATTACTCCTTTTTTTTGTTTTGTTTTCGCGGTTGTTCTTAAACTTTGGAAAGTTTAAAATAATTATTGTTTTTTATCATTTTAATCTTTGTACAATTTCAATTGCTGTATTTGTGCCTTCCTTTGGGAGCCCTTCTGCTATGACAAATGATATACACATACGTTACATTATAAAAGCTAAAGAAATATACATGCAATGAGTGAAAGTGTCAAATGTAGTTTTAGATAGAAAGCATCAACTCTATCTCATATCTTTTGGACTTGGCTTTTAGTTCCAGAATTACGGTTGAAAGCCATTACACTTGCTGCATTTAACTGCATAACATGCAGTTAAAATTACCAGTAATATCAGTAATTTCCCAGTAATATTGGTTAATAACAAGGTAATATTACACTATACATGACTTCAAATTAGTAGAATTGTACTTTGTTTCATAATTCAGTCATCATATGCATTTGACTATGCATTGGCCTTATCTGTTAACAAGTCTATCTTATAATGTTATATGTTATATAAATGATATGTTACAATTCAGAAAAAGAACTGACTACTTCCTTCCTTTCTGATTTGAATATTGTTTTTCTTCTTCCATGTGTAGGTTTCCTCTCTTTTGTTTCTCTATTTCCTTGGTCTCATCAATAGCTGCCAACCATGCTTAATTCAAGAAATAATCCTTCTGTATTAGCCCCCAGTAGGAGGAATAACATAAAACCCAGAAAAATAGAAACATTGCAGAATAATTAGACTGATTAATACTTGTATAAAATGCACAAAGCCCAAGTTTTCAGGTGGCACAAGCTTTATAATGATGTAAAGTGTTCCAAGCACTTCCTTTTGATTATTTCTGGCATCCTTAACATCCATACAAAGTAGGGCTGAAATAAGGTAATGTTACATTCTGCACTGAGGGGGGTGTCTAGAGCATTGCTTCCTAAAATGTGGATCTCAACCCCAAATGGGATCCCCTTCCCTCAGTTGAGGTCATGAAAAAATTGGCAACACTAAAGGTTTTTTAACACTACCTAAGCATTTGCACAAATATGTTAACAATGTTCAGTATTTACAGTGGGCTCTGAAGAATTGCTTCAGTTGTACTTCATAAAAAGGCAAAAAAAAAAAAAGCCTGTTTAGCAAGCTTTGCAAACACTGATTTATTTTAAGTAAATGTCTGATTTTTATACCTGTTTTATAAACCTATATACCAATATACTAGGGCTGTGGTGGTACGGCGGGCTAAACTGCTTAGCTGCAGAACTTGCTGACTAAAGGTCTGCCCTCTGACCCTTACAGATACATTTCAGTGAAGGTGGGAAAGGATAGTGGATGAAAAGGGGCTAGGTTTAGGATTCTTATTAATTGCCATTCTTTCAAAGGGGTTATGTAAAAGCTAAAGAGAGTATATGTGTATTTTTAAGTGTATTTTTTCTGCTTTTAGAGATAGAGGGTAGGCTCTACTTTCTGCTGATTACCTGATCCGACCAACTGAGCAAGAACACAGGTTAAGATTCACTCTGGATAAATTCAGTTTGCTTCCATCTGCAGTATGGAAGGGAAAATACAATAATGTACCATATTGTGAATGCTTATATTCTAGAGCAGGGGTCTTCAAACTTTTAAAGTGGGGGGCCGGTTGACGCTTCCTCAGACTGTTGTGGGGGGGGGGGCGAACTATAGTTTGGAAAAATAAGAACGGATTCCTATACACTTCACATATCTTATCTGTAATGCAAATAAAAAATCAATGAAAGACAAAACAATATTTAAAATGAAGAACAATTTCCACCAACATGAATTTACCCATCTTTCAATGGGAAGTATGGGCCTACTTTTGGATGATGAAATAGTCAAGTCAATTAGGATTGTTGTTGTGTGCCTTCAAGTAATTTCAGACTTAGGGCAAACCTAAGTCTAAAGTTTAGGGCAGGAGCCAGATAAATGACCTTGGAGGGCCGCATCCGGCACACAGGCCTTAGTTTAGGGACTCCTGTCCTAGAGAGTCAGAGAAAGTAGAAACTGTGTATTTATTCTTTTAGCTATGACCTTTGATGCAGTACAAATATTTGTATTTGTCTTTATATTTTAACTCTTAATTTTATTTCCTCTTTAGTTGTAAGTTCTCTGATGTTACTTTGTATTATTTTGATTTGTGTGAATTTGACTACGGCATTGAACATTTGCCTTTTTTGTGTGTCAACCACCCTGAGTCCCCTTGGGCAGAGAGGGCAGTCTATAAATAAAGTATTTATTTAAAATATTTATATTTAATATTGTTTTTAATTTTATATTTAATATCGCATTCTTACGCATTGCATTGTGTTTTAGCATATTTAGTCATTCACTGAAATATGTAAATAGACATTGTCTTTCAGCATATTTTGCTATGATATCATTAAGCGTACTTATATCTCCAATGTTCTAGCTTGTAAAATATGTGCTAAATGTCTGTTACAGCGCATACAAGCTGCAATCTTAAAAGCATTCAATAATCCAACCACCAAAACAGCCGATGAAGAAACAAAAAGAAAAGTCAAGGGTATGTTGACCTTCAGCAAAATTCCATCGTCCGTGTTATTTGCATAGAATCGGCTTTAAGTTTTCTTTTACAAATTAATTGCCTTTATGAAATATGTTTTCATGGATTTTGATTTCCTTACAAAGTGAATCACATTTTTAAAGTCTTGAAGTCCCATGTGAAATTTATTGGGCTTGTGCCTGTTATTCTGGTGCCATCTAGTGCACATCCAAAACACACCAGTCATCTGATTGTTTTACACACAGTAACCTTTTCCCCTTATCTAGGTCAATATCTAGTGGATAAACTAGTTTGTTTCTTAATTCTAGTGATCTCCTATAAATATGGATATTATAAAAGTTAGTATGATTGAAGGTGTGAAGCCTGTTTATGACTGTGGCATATGGATATTGATGTTCAAGAGCAAAAATGGTTGTGAGTTAGAGGAATCAACTGTGGTTGTAATCCTCTGTACACTTATCTGGAAATATGTGCCCCTCAGCTCAGTGGCACTTATATCTAAGCCAGAGCTTTCCAAACATTTTATGTTGGTGACAGACTTTTTAGACACGCATCATTTTACACAACAGTAATTCAGTTTTACCAGCAAACCAGAGGTTAAACCACTCCCTTATAAAAGATACAGACACATACATAAATTGTATTCGTGAAAGGTATCATGAAAATCTTTCATTTATATATTTTAAAATATATGACCTATTGCTTATTTCAAAGATGGCTCACTCAAAGATGCATCACCTGTACACTGCCCCCAAAATACGAATGTGTCACAACACACCATTTAGAAAGCTCTGGTCTATGTAGACACATACATAGATTTTCATACTGCGAGTAGTGAATATATATTTAGGAAGAGAAGCGGTGCAGTGTACTGAAGTACCATCCCCTTCTTCTTGAATTTTGCAATGTTTCTGAAATCTTATTTAGAGTAAATGCACAATATGTGAACTTAGAATATACCTATAATGTTATCATTTGTGTGATAATGGTAGAACTGACTTCACAGCTGCATGAGTTGAAATATCAAAGTTGCAATACAACTCAGTGAATTTATTTTCTGCTTATAAAGCACAATCTTTGACTATTTTAAAATACCATATTTCATCGTATAAAATAGTCACAATCGCATAATAGTTGCACCCCCACTTTTAGGTAAGGCAAACCCAATATTTTGCTCTTCCCCACATAAAAGTTTCACCCTTACTTCACATACCCAGGCAAGTGAACTCAGGGTGCGACTGCCCTTTTGGTGCTATACGGCTTCACTCATCTCCCAGCTGAGTCAAGCTCTGCAGCGCCAAGTAAAGAGGGCAGATGGCCAGGGGAATGAATTCACTCCCCTGTCTGCCTCACTCTTTCCCTTTTTGCTCTGCTGTGTGGACAGGTGAAGCATTACCCACCCGTGCAGCTGTGCCCTTGTCAAGAGGGAAAGGGGAGGAAAGTACGACTATTATGCAGTGAAATGTAGTAAATTATTAAAAGTCTTGAATTTAAGACACTGTTGTGCTTAAAGTCTAAATTTTATTTCCTATGAGTTGTAAGAGCAGTAGAATCCTACCATTACCATCATCATTTTCAAATGGTTCCAGAAAAAGATATCCATGCTGCACCTGAAGTGATGTTGTCTGTTTACATATTTTAATAGTGCTTATTTTTTTCAGCCTATGGAAGAGAGGGTGTTAAGATGAACTTCATAGATAGGATCTTTGTTGGTGAATTGACAAGCACTATCATGTGTGAGGAGTGTGAAAATGTAGGTATTGATTTTTTAAAATAAAAAGGTGATTTATTGATTTGGATGAGCAAAACTCATTAACAGTCAAAACTGTTACTTCCTCTGCATAACAAGGGACATTTTTGCAATTTTTGCCTCATTTCCTCCTTCTAGAATATTCTTACGGTGTCCCCTCCAAGGACAGTTTCAGAATTATTTGTGAATAAACACTTCAGACTGTGTTGAAGTAACATGGCCTTCAGTATGTTTACTGACTTAGAAATGATGGTACTAGCCTATAACCCATAATAAGAAACCAGAGCCAGGCCTGTTTCCAAGGCAGTGGGCAAAGTTCCTTGTAATATTGATTGGACAAAACATCACTGGAAAACAATCACTATAGATGAGGATTTACCTTCTCCCAAAAACTAATGAGTGAACTCCCAGTTGCAGCTTGTTCCTCGGGTTTCGCCTGGAAAATAGAACTGAAGTAAATACATCATACAAGTTACACTATCAGGATACCATAGTGTATGATGTACAATGTGTCCTCTATCAGCAAAATGTCACAGAACATGTCATGGAGCCAAAGCCTTGAAAGCAATTTTATCCATGCATATGGCTAGGATTGGGATGCCAGAAACATTAGCAGTCTATTCTATTTCATTGTGGCCTCATCCTTGCAATCCTGTTCATGCTGGTGTCAGGCATTTGCTTGCTAAGGCCCTGGTAAACAAGTTTCCAGCTCGGATGCTCTTGCCAGCATTGGCAGGGACTAGTTGCTGAAAACCGGTGCCCTGAACTGCAAAATTTGGCTTGCATTTTGGGCATGCAGTGTCCTTGTCCATAGGAAACCACACTAGAATCCTGCTGGCAGCCACCATCCTAGAACAGATGTAGCTGGACTTTTAATTTGGATCCCCATCTCTCCCCCCCCCCCCCCCCCCCCGGTTTTCGGAAATATTTCATTAGTGCCTCCAAAATGTGGACTTACTTTGAAAGAAATAGTGTCCATCTCTAGATTATAAAGTTTCCAGGCGTATCTTAAGGGTAACATGTAATTTTTCCTGTCTTTTTCCTCTATGTCCTTGTTGACATAGGCCCATAGCCAAAATAATTTTGTTGTTGTAAAGCAAAGACTTGTTGGTGGTTGAAGGAAGAGGGTGCTTAAAGTTTGTGTAATAAAGCAAAATAAATACACATAGATATGTTTTTATATATGTTATAATTGCTTTATAATTGATAAGTTCTAAAGGCTGTTCAACAGTGGAACCCACTGCCTCAGAGTGTGGTAGAAGCTCCTTCCTTTGAAGCTTTTAAACAGAGGCTAGATGGCCTTCTCTCAAGGGTACATCAATTGTGCTTTTCCTGCATGGCAGGCGGTTAGACTAGATAGCCCACGTGGTCTCATCTAACTCTATGATTCTATGATTCTATCTTGTTTTCAAGCCAAGAAAATCCATATTTACCTTTGGATTTAAAAAACAAAAATCCAAAATGAATTTACTAAATTTTACATATTCTAAATTTCTAGAACAATAGTTTTGTGAAGTACTTCACTGAATAAAGAAGTTGATTTCATGTCTACACGTATTTAGTTTGTTGCTTGATTCCATTTGCCAGCATTGCCAATTGATTGCCCAGTACAGAAAGGAGTTCTTCAAGATCTGGAGGCCACAGATTCACCTGCTTTGCATAAAGAAAAGCATGAAATGATTGCATACTATTTATACATTCTGATGTGATCAAAAAACGTGCAGTGCTTTATTTTTACATGTTTATGTTTATGTTTTCCTAAGATTTCCACGGTAAAAGAACCTTTCATCGATCTTTCACTCCCTATTATAGAAGAGAGGGTAAGAAACACATTATTTAATTAAAAGTTGTAATTGATGCTTTCTCTACATGTAGCTGTTTCAAGATCACTGAGTTAATATCTGGGGCAATTTCTCATGAGATTGCCAGAGCTCCTAGATTTAGACCCTTATTTCCTGCCTTAAATGGATACCAGCATCGTTAAAGTCTGCACATGACCACCTTTACTAACTAAAACATGGCAACTGCTGCGTGTAGATTGAGGGAAGAATGTTTCTAACATAAACACAGTTAATTTCACCCAGTCTAAAGCAGCATTTCTCAACTTGGGGGTCAGGACCCCTGGTGGGGGTTGCAAGGGGGTGTCAGAGGGGTCGCCAAGGACCATGAGAAAACACAGTATTTTCTGTTGGTCATGGGGGTTCTATGTGGGAAGTTTGCCCCATTTTCTCGTTGGTGGGATTCAGAATGCTCTTTGTTTGTAGGTGAACTATAAATCCCAGCAACTACAACTCCCAAATGTCAAGACTATTTTCCCTAAACTCTACCAGTGTTGATATTTGGGCATATTGAGTATTTGTGCCAAGTGTGGTCCAAAACCATCATTTTAGATTGCACAGTGCTCTCTTGAATTATAACTCCAAAACTCAAGGTCAATGCCCACCAAACCTTTCCAGTATTTTCTGTTGCTCATGGAAGTTCTGTGTGCCAAGTTTGGTTCAATTCCATTGTTGATGAAGTTCAGAATGCTCTTTGATTATGGGTTAACTATAAATCCCAGCAACTACAGCTCCCAAATGACAAAATCAACCGCCGACTCCAACCCCACCAGTATTCAGATTTGGGTGTATTGGGTATTTGTGCCCAATTTGGTCCAGTGAATGAAAATTTATCCTGCATATCAGATATTTACATTACGATTCATAACAGTAACAAAATTGCAGTTGTGAAGTAGCAAGAAAAATAATTTTATGGTTGGGGTCACCACAACATGAGGAACTGTATTAAGGGGTCGCAGAATTGGGAAGGTTGAGAACCTCTGGTCTAAAGGATGCTTCTGGATTCCTTTGTATACTAATGCAGGCCAAGCTGGCTATATCTTTAGATATGACTATATTGCATGTTTTTGTGGGTGGGTGTACTGTTAGATTTGTGCATGCATCACACTTTTTCAAGTCATTTTAAAATTTGATTTGAAATAAATTAGTCTACCTTTTATTTAAATTTGCAGCAAAAATACCTAGTTATTGCCTCTATTTTAGTCATTTTCCAGGTGGATGTATAGGTATACAACAAAAATATTTATTACAGTCCATAGTCTCATCAGTAAATGAACAGTCATTCATTATAAATTCTCCCATCTCCGGAGAAGTTCATTGAACAAGATTCATCTACATGGTTTCAAATAATACCCCTATCACAGTTTACATATACAGATGGATGTATATGTATTAAAATGAGGCGCTAGCTTTGTACTGATATTGTTTGGTTAAAAAGTGACCTAATAAGTCATCTTGTCTGATAAAATGGGAGCAGATTTCCTGCAAATTCCAACCAGTGTTTCCTGGTTTAAAGAAATATCTACACTCATGCTGTATAAATGAATTGCTTTGCGGAGAGATCTTTTACTATAGATCCACCTTTAATGTCTTCTAGCGTGGGGAAATGAAAAAAAAAGTCACTTCATATGTATTTTCATAATTAAGAAATGAATCAAAACCTCCACATTTGCAGGTTTGACTCTTGTGGATTAGATTATTTTTGGATTTGATTAATATCCTGTCTCTAGGAATCTTTAGTTCCTCCACCAGTGCAATTCTTTGGTGACCTTCCAACAGAAGTCTCTCGTTGAGTCGCCTTTGAGGACCTTGAGAATAGCATTTTTAAATCAGTGGTTTTTCTACTTTAACAAAGATCCTGTGCCCACTAACCTCTGCTAAAGTGGAGGACCTACAAGTTAAGAAGATATACTTTATGAAAGTAATAGGTAATTTAATCAGCAGTGTAAGTAAGAGATGGCTTAAAGGATTAGATTCAGTGCTGCAAACAAATGTAGGATTAGACTGTTTTCCTATAGATGGCAGTTCCTTAGCTGACTAGTGATCTAACTTGCTTTGTGACTTTGAAATTACCCTAAATCAAAATAATCCTTTGTACAAAGCCAAACTTCTCAGATGTATGACCTACATAGTTAGGTTGCCCTACTTTTTTCCCTCTGTAGTGGGAGACATAGTGGATAATGGCCAATTGAGAATTTGAATTAGATGGTATCTGAGAGGTCTGTAAAAATCAGTTGATTATATTGTATTTTTCCCATAACCATAACTCCCTTAAATATATCCTTTAGACTTTTTAATTACTATTTTTAAAGTATGTGCCTGAAAGCAGACTGTTACTTGGACAGTCAAGCAGGGCAGTTTGAGACACACATCTCTGATGCATAAAATGGATTAGCAGACATCATCTCCCAGTAACAGAGTTGATTAAATCTCTGTATTTAAAGCTAGGTGGCTATATGTACATATGTTGTATGTACATATAAATTCAAAGAGAAATATGAGAATAACTCTTTCATTTTTCTCCATTATAAGAAAACCCAATGTAAACCTTTATACATTTTCACTCTTTTTAGTTTGCAAAGCTAGGTGTATACATCTTCACTCTTTTTAGTTTGCAGAGCAGCTTACAGAATACATATATGGCAAACATTCAATGCCATTATACAATCAACAACAAAGATTGATAGTACATAGACAGGGGCAAAGGCTTCCCCCTTTCCATCTCCGGTATCTGGAGGCTGTACTCGACTCTGGCCATGGGGAGGCGCTCTTGTTCCATTTTCCATGCCAAGGCACCTGTTGTCCATAGATGTCTTCCTGATTGAATTGCTGGCATGTCTGCATGGGTGCCTTTTACTTCCCCACCTATTGATCTACTCACATTATTGTTTTCGAACTGCTAAGCAGGCAGGGGCTAGCGCTAACAGTGGGAGCTCACCCCACTCGCAGCTTGAAGTAACAACCTTCCGGTTGGCAAGATTTTCTGCAGCTGGCGGTTTAACAAGCTATGCTACCATGGCCCCTTGTGAACATTTGTTGCCTGTTGACTTAGGGCAACTCCACTAATTTCATAGGGCTTTTTTGTAGGCAAGGAATACTCAGAGTGCTTTTGCCAGTTCCTTAGTGCTTACAGCACCTGATGTTTATTGGCGATCCCCTATCTTAATACGAACCAGGGCTTGCCCTGCTTAGTTTCCAAGATTAAGTGGGATCTGGTGCCTTTATGGTATTAGGGTATTAGGCCCACAAAGCTGTGAGCATTGTCAAGTATATAGTGGACATGCATATGCCGTAAAGTCTCAATGCTTGAATATAAAGTTATATATGAATATACAGTTATAGAGATGGTGCATATATGTCACAAGGAATATTTGAAAAATGCAGAAAACACAGCACTAGGGCTACCTGATGTGTCTGGGAGTGTTTTCTAACTTTCAGTGACATCAGATTTCCTAGTCCATTCTTTTTGTGGATGTGAAATAAATAAGCTGAGCTTCCACAGAAGTTGAGGAAGCAGGAATCCATTTTGTTTCCTTCTGCTTCAGGATAAGCTTTGTTTAAATTTTACTGCTTTCAGTATTGCTTGTTTGAGAGGAGGGGTTTCTGTGTTTAAATTTAACTGCTTCCAGTGCTGCTTTGTTTGAGAGGCGGGGCTTCCTGAGTTTAAAAATTAACTGCTTTGTTTGAGAGGCGGGGCTG